AATTTCTATTTTTAATATATATATAAATTTAGCTAGGTGTATTAGTTACCTATTTATATACCGCTTTCCTCTTATAATTGCAACATAAAACTTGGTGGTGCATAAGCTTCATCCCGTCAGCGATGTGCTGGTACCACGATACGCTACGCCTTGCCACTCTCGCTAACAGGTACTAGCTCGTGGCGTGAGCTACTCATGCTAAATTATATCACAAATGAAACGGAAGCAAGGAATATTACTCGACCTTTTTTTTTGTTGTAACCTTCTCCTAGCGACGAGTTTAAACGACTCTACTCTTAAAACTATACAAATACATACCCATCACCTCCTGCCCATCGCCAGGTCGCGCATAGTATACTCTTGGCACAACACACCCCGCGCCCTTACCCGAAACAAACTTTGTACGATGATGCGAGCGATCGAAACGAAATGACATCGCATTAATAAGAGCAAATCGGCTGTGCTAGAAGGGACGGCTGTCACGGCTGAAGCCCGCGTCATGTGCTAGATGACTGCTATATAAGGGGCGAGCCAGAAACAAGCATCCCGCTGAGGGCTTCTGGCTCCTCGGTGAATAATAGAGTCACATTATTCTACTACCTCACTGCTATCCAATACAACAAGTCTTTGATTTGAATCAACATGGAGTCCGAAGTTGCACCTCGCAGGTCGAGTACCTCAACAGTGTGCTCTCCTCCCATGTCTACCAAACTTTGGACAAAGACCAAGCTGCTAACCAAAAGGCAATAATAGCTCCAGATGACAGTCTCTAAAATGAGAGAAGCAATCACCATTGCCTACCTTCTCACCGAGAGCAACATTAAAGGCTATGTCCAGCCCGTCACCCTATTTGCCCTCATCAGCGTCGCCTCCAGCGGCGTCACCACCGTTGACAAGGCCACATTCTTCGAACTCGCCACCGCCGTTGCCCATGCCTCCTGTTACATTTGGCTGTACATGTTGCATTTTGACAGCAGCAACCAGATGGATCCCGAGTCTGTCAAGGAGGACACGCTCAACAAGCCCTGGCGCGCCATCCCCTCGGGCAAGCTCAGCATCCAAGCTTGCAAGAAGTGGTATGTCGCGGCGACGTGCCTGCTCGTCACTTCCAGCAGCTTGTACTTTGGCGGACTCCCCGAGGCTGTGGCGTTTATGATGGAGACGTGGGTTTATGATCGTGTGTGCGGTGCGAACTACTGGTGGGGGAAAAACATCATCAACGCACTCTTTTACGCCACGGGCCAGCTGGGCGCGACCCGTGTGGCTGCGAGGTCGATGGGGTCTGCCGAAATCAGCCGCGCAGGGTACCAGTGGTGCGCGTTGCTGGGGCTCAACACGCTCACTACGATTCAGATACAGGATTTGCGAGACCAGCAAGGCGACAGAGCCCGTGGACGGCACACGATGCCGCTGGTCATGGGGGATGGTCCGACAAGGGTGATTACGGCCCTGTTTGTAACGCTGTGGTCGGTGGTTTGCCCAGCGTACTGGGCGCAGGGACATTTTACGCTGGGGTTTGTGCCGTCTGGGCTGATTGGCTTTTTGATTGTACTGCGGTTGCTGTCGCGTCGAACTGTCGAGGCGGACCGTCTGTCGTGGCATTTGTATACTTTGCTTTGGCTGCCTTCGCTCTACCTGACTCCATTACTGAACCAGTATAGGTTGTATTAAAGATTCAGAGGAAGAACAAGGACTGCTACGGTGCACCGTTGATATTAATTTTTATATTATTACTCTTTAGTTTAAAATTTTAAAAAATTAAAAAGCTAAAAATATAATTAGGCTACTATACCTTTTTACTAAAACTACATTACTTTACCTTAAGATAAATATTACTAAATTTATTACTTAAATAAATAAGAGTTTAGTATTTAAAAATAATACTTTATATAACTAACTAATAATTTTTATAATCTATTTTTTTATATATTACTTAAATTATAATTATAATAAATATTTAAAGTTATTTTACTAGTTAATACTTTAAGTGTATTGCTATTATTTTATTATTAAATTATTAAATTTATAATAATTAAACTTTATTTATATAAGATAATTGATTTATATTTATATAAGTTATATTAATAAGTATTAATTAACTAATTTACTATTTAATATAAATTATATTTAATTTAAGATATAATTAGTAAAGTTATTTATAAATATTTATTTATTTATTTTTAATATAAAATATAAGTAATATTATATAGACTACCTATTTTCACTATATAGATAAGCCTTATATAATACTATAAATACGGTAATTAAAGGTACCTAGCTTTTAGTATAATTTATATATAAAGAGAAGTATCTTTTAAAAATCTAATATATTTAATAATTTTATACATCCTTACTACTATAACTACTCTATAGTACGCCTCTTCCGTGAAAAACTCTTAATTCTGTGGCTCCTTTTGTGCGAGAATATTCTGCGCCAAAGTCCGGAGATTCTTGGCACCCACGATCCTAGGCAATGGAAGCTCAACCTTGGTCTGTCTTCGAATCCAATTGCGTAGTTCCACCGATATTAGAGAATCCAGACCGTAGTTTCGAAGCGGTGCATCCGCGTGCACCTCATCCCGTTCTATCATCGTGATGGAGGAAACTTTATCAAGCAAGTGCTCAAGCAAATGAAGGAGAGGGTCATGGTTATGCGATCCGTCAACTCGTTTCCCAAGGAGATTCTCAAAACCAGGTACGAGCATCTTGGAGTTTGTCCGCTGCACAAGGTCTCGTGGGTGAAACAATTGCCAACTCTGCTGACTTGCGTCGTCCCCAGACGCAAGGGTAAAGGACATAGCCTTTCCGCCCGCGTTCAAACTGGAAGATGGCCCTATAATAGCCCCCTTAATAAGCGTCCGTAAATGAGCTTCTGTCAAGGTAGCTCCCAGTGCAGCTTTCAAGTCTTCTGTTAAGCCTTGTTTGACGGCATACCCGACATCTAGGACTAATGGCAGAGATACCGATACTGTGTGCTGCCCATGGGAGTTTCGGTACGTTGAAAATGCGTCAAAAAATGTCTTGAAACAAACTGTTAGGGTGCACTGCGATAGGAGAATAACTGCTTGTTGCTCACCGATGTGCCAGCATAGATCGATTGGCCGACATTGCCAGTAGCCCCGCCGTAAGACGACAGAATAATAAAAAAATCAAGCTTTGGTAACAACTCATGGAGATTCCACGCCCCCTGGACCCTTGGCATTCTAATTTCGTGCCAGTCTTCGTATGTGGCATTTTGTAAGAGCGAGTCCTAAACATTGTTAGTCGGTTGGAAAGGTACTGGCCTTGAGCCTCAGGGACATACGCGAAGATGCATGGCACCATGGATAACGCCATGAATTGGAGGAAGGCTCTGGACGGATCGCAAAACACGTTCAAGATCCTCTCTAGCCCCAACATCGCAACTGAGAGCCTTCACATTGATGTCAGTGCCAGTATACAACGCCAACAGTTGCTTAACTTCTGTGCGGGACGAGCCGCTTCGACCGAGTAAGATGACGTTGCAGGCGCCATTTTCAACCATCCACTGTGCCAAAGAAATACCAATTCCACCTGTCCCTCCAGTAATAAGGTATGTCACATCACTACGGAGTAGCCTGCCTGTCGTTGAAAGGCTTCGCGAGGGTGTACTCTCAGCCAACACGCAGTCATCTGGGCCTAGACTCGCCACAATCTTTCCAATATTTTTGCCTGACTGGAGCTTGCGAAGCCCGTCCGCAATGTGAGATATGGGTATGATATTGACAGGCCTGATAGGAACAACAATCTGGCGTTGGAGCAAGTCAATGAGTATTGAAAAGCACTCAGCCATCTCTTTGGGTTGTTTTGTGAACTGCTGGCGGAGATCGATGCTTGTGAAAGACACGCAGCGCTCAAAGGGTCTTAACGGCAAGTAGCTGTTCTTGAGTAAATCAACCTTGCCTATTTCAACAAATCGACCAAAATCCGCCATCAACTCCCACGTAGCTTGTAGTAGATGGCCGCTTGAACTGTTGATGACCACGTTGACCCCTTTTCTGTCCGTCTTGCATAGAATGGCGTCGCGGAAAGCACTCGTCCGACTAGAAAAAATATAATCCATAGGGATGCCGAACCTTTGCCGAAGAAATTCTCTCTTCTCAGCACTACCTGCGGTGACGAAAACTCGGGCGCCAATATTCTGGGCTAGTGCTATGCAGGCCTGGCCGACAGCTCCAGACGCAGCATGTATAAGAACGCTCTCCTCTTTCCGGAGCCTCCCTATCCGCATGATTGCCATGATGGCGGTGATGTATGCGACGGGCAGACCAGCAGCATCGACACTGCTCAGCTCGTCTGGAATCCTGGCGGCCGCCCAAGCAGGTATTCGGACATGATTTGAAAATCCACCGCCTTCAAGGCAGCTATAAAGCACGCGGTCCCCTGGACATAAATTGGCAACACCGGATCCTACGTGGACGACGACACCGGCACCTTCAAACCCGGGGTTCATCCATGGTATAGATCCAAGAACAAGAAGAAGATCACGGAAGTTGACACCAGCCGCTTCGACCCGGATGATAATGTCGTTGTCAGCTAGTGGCAGAGAGTGGGTGGCCGTCCTACCAAAGTAGATTGAATCCAAGCTCCCTACAGTGTCAACTGTCATCGCCACTGTCCTATCAGCCTGCCAGAAGCTTTGAAGTTTCAATAGGGGAATACCGGTTTCAGAAGCATAAGACTCCCGGGCGCCCGCCAGCTGTCGTAGTCGAGGAATACATATCATGTCATTTTCCCAAACAAAATCTTGGTCATGGTTTCGTCCCAATTCTGAGTCTTGCAGTCGTTTGGCTACCTGAGCGACCCGCTTGGCTCCTTCTTCTGTTGGTGGTACATTCTCGAATAATAGCAATGCCCTTATGTCGGTTTCGAGCCGCACTGTGCGTAGGATCCCTTTAATAGCTTGAGCGTCTGGGTGATGACCCTCCGGAATAACCCACAAAAGTCGGCTGGTCTCTAGAAGGGCCTCCTTCAAAGTTTGAAACAGTCCAGGAGAGAGATCTGTCAATATACTCTGGTCGGGGGAGTCCAGCACTATGCAGAGCTCACCGTCTGCCGCCCTGAGCTCACCAAAGGTCTTTACTGCAACGCGGCGCTGGAGCTCCATAGCCACGTGTCCTGCTACCGTGTTAACAAATCCGACGTCGTCTACCTCGCGTACATAGATTGAAGTAGGCGCTCCATCGTCATCATTGTTTGTATTAACTCTTGTGGAGCACATGACAGTGAGTACCCCATCAGCCGGATCCTTGCTCTCCACCATCGAGCTGTCCACTCCAGAGAACCCTTGCGCAACGAGTAGATGGTGCCAGGCAGTCTCAGAGATCATAGGCCCGTCGTTGCCAGGGCGATGTTCATCTTCAAAAGGCCACCACCCGGGAAGCAATGCAAAAGGTAGATACTGAGGTGGATGACAAGTAGCTTCTAGTAAGAGAAGCTTACCATTCGGCTTCAGCAGCGACCGTATGTGTCTGATAGCAACTGCGATATTAGGAGTCGCGTGGAGGACGTTTGATGAGATGACGAGGTCAAAGCTTTCCAGTGTAAATCCTTGTTGTGTCGGGTCCTGGGTTATATCCAGTCGCTTGAAGGCAACTTGTTTGGTCCACCTGGACAACTTCTTCTTAGCTTTCTCAAAAAGACCGGCGGAGACATCGGTAAATGTATAAGAAAGATATTCGGGGAGACTATCCCCGCCCTGTGATAACTCCTCCATTACTGGTAGAGTGGCAGCTCCCGTGCCCCCGCCAATTTCCAGCACGCGCATACCCATTTTGATGTCGGATAGATGGCGAGCAAATCTTGCCAGTATACGGTTGCCTCTCGCATAGCCCTTGTGTTCCTCGTAGAAGCGAGAGAGAAGATCATCAGTGAGCATGATTTCTAAGGGTTGTACTTCCCCGCGTAGGATACGTGGGAGATGTTCGCCAACCCTACAAATCAACTGGCCTTGAGCATCGCAGTCGGCTACATCTGCTAGTATCTCTACTGGCTGATGTCTAACCGCCGACTTCTCTTGGCCAATAATCGTTTTGGCCCACAAATGAAACTTAGCCAGGTGTGGAGGTAGGATAGGGAGTTCCTGCCCTTCCATCTCGTTTAGTGTTCGGTCCATGTAGTATAGCGCCGCGCTATTGAACTTGGCACGTTCTGCGTATTCATGTTCGCTTAAAGGATCTGACGAGATCACCTTTGACACTTCTTTTCCAACAAAATCCAGAACAGGCACCGTTTCCCAGCAATAGCTGGAGGGCAAACTCGCAACTTCATCTTGTATGCTTGCCACAGTTACTGACTGAAAAGAAACTGACTCAAACTCTGCAACCGGCACAAGAACTCCAGGAGAACATTGCGCAAAGACGGCAACACTGACATCTAAATTGCCAACTTTGGCTTCGCGGCTGAGCAACCGCGTAACCGACGTAATGACAGGAGGCTTTGCTAGAGATGCTGGAAGCTTGTTTGAAACGCGGAGCCGGCTAACATAGTTTGGCACATAAGCGGCTCTCTTTTCATTGATGGTGCGGAAAGGACCCATCCCTTGCAGGCATGTATCCAAAAATACCGGGTCAACAACTAGAGAAGAGTCATATTGGGTTGGTAGGAATGGTTTTGTATCGTCCAACGTAATCTCGCTGACTGTCCAACTGGCTGATTCCCAAAATCGACTAATTTTACGGAATGCAGGGCCATAGGTTGTTCCGTCTGTCCCATGCAGGTCGTATAGTCGTTCAGCGTCGCGTTCTTGTAGGGTATCGCTGCCAATTCTCTTGGCCGACGAAATCAAAGTCGAAGTGTTCATCGCTATTTGATCTGTTGTCGCTTCGATGAAGCCGTAGCAGTGCTGAGTCCAATCAATACCCGGCGCCCAGGATAGAATCTCGAATGTCCAAGATGAAGACGAAAAGTTTTCCGTCCCAGTAGCTGCTGGTCTGAGACAGGTAGTCAGGTCGATGCGCTCGTCTTCTGCTATCTCTAAACTTCTTTTATTATGATACTCCCGTAGAATGAAACTACCCGGGACAGTGGGGATCACGCGTCTTAAGGCTTGGATTGCCATTGACAAATAACCCGTCATCGGAAAGATGACTGCCTTGGTCACGTTGTGGTCCCGGATCCAGGGCATTTCATCGAGTGTGAGAACCTGCCTGAACTTGTGTTCACTGCCGTCACAATAAGGGATCTTCCAGCCAATAAGAGGATCATAGTCATGGCCAGGGTGCAATTTGGATTCCATGATTCGCGACTTATGAACGTAGCGAACGGACTTATCCCACTCGTACGCTGGAAGATTCGTCAGGACGCGAGCGTCATGAATGTCGACGCGATTGACTTGCCCAAAGTCTAGCACAGTTCCCATGGAGAATAGGTTCCCTAGTAAGCGCAAGAGCGATTCAGAACCACTGGTACCGCGTAAGATAGAAGAATGATACGAGCAAGGTGCCAGGTTGGGAGACTTGAGCTTTTGGAGTTCCTGGAGCGTTTGCTGTATTGGGCTCTTAAGCGTTGCGTGTGGACCAATCTCAATGATGGCACTGGAATATTTGGAGGTCGGCCGAGCGCATCTGGTACGATTTAGTATATCGTACAGTGCTATTACCGCGTCTCTGAACAGCACGGGCTGAAGAAGATTCTTGACCCAATATGTCGCATCGATAGCTGCTGTCTCAATTACGCGGCCTGTAACTGAAGAGACGAATATCGGAGGCGATTCTACCCCTCCAGAGCAGTATTCACCAGCATCCTCTGGGCAATACGCTTGAATACCTTCGAGGTAGAAATCGGCAACTTCTTCCATATGGTGGGAATGATAGGCAATATCAACCTTGAGCCTGCGAGTAAATAGCCCTCGTTCTTGTGCTATGTGGTGCAACATTTCTATTGCAGAAACATCTCCAGATATCGTTACACTCTGGTGGCTGTTTATAGCGCCGATAGTCGCATGCATGTCAAGTTCTCGCAGCAGATCTGAGGCTTCATCAGGGCCGACCCCGAGAGCGAGCATTGCCCCTGCTTTACCGCGTACTCCACGGAGTCTTGCAGCAGCCAGGCCGCGGAAGTAGGCAATAGCCACCGCAGCCTGAAAGGAGATGAGGCCCGCGGCGAAGGCAGCAGCAATCTCTCCACTGGAGTGTCCCATCACTGCTGCGGGTTTAACACCCCAAGACTGAAGCAAAGAGACGAGGGCCAGTTGAACAGCGGTGCATGCTGGCTGGCTGATTTCGGCATCATGAATGCGTGACTCTGCTTCTGGCTTGTTCAGTTCCTCTGCATTCATGTTAGTCCGCAGTGTTTTTTCGTTGCAGCGTCGCTGGTTACCTTTCAACGACCAACCCGCGCCGAGATCGCAAAGGCAAGCTTCAGCTTGGTCAAGGGTTGCTGCAAAGCGTTCATAGCGTTGGAGATCAACAGACATTTGAGCATATCTTAAACTTCAGTCAGTCCAAGTACCGCTTCACACACTCAAGCTACGAGCAGCTAGCTAGCGTTGGGTCGCAATCGGGACGTACTGAGCACCCTGTCCGGTAAATACAAAGGCCAAGGAAATATCGGCTATTTTGCGGATCTTGGAGCTTAGCAACCCATCTTTGAGGCCGGAAACGGAGTCTGCCACCGTCGCCAGTCGGTGGGCATGGTGAGTTCGCCGTTGACCAAGCGTAAAGCTTAGGTGTTTTAAGAAATCATCTGAGTCAGGTGTTGTGTCTAAATACTTGACAAAAGATGAGACGTAGCCTGAAAGGCTCTTTTCGGACTTGGAGGAAAGTACGAAGAGTCGCAGCCCACCATTATCACGGCCCTTGGCTGGCTCTGGCCGAGGAGGTGTGAGAAGATTTGGGGATTCATCGACGATGATAGCAACATTGCTGCCTCCGAATCCTACCGAAACAGTCTTGTCAGCTCTCCCATGGGTTTTAAAATCCGTGAGTACTTACCAAAGTTCGTGACACAAACCCTCTTTAGAGCACCTAGTGGCCACGGCACCAGAGATTTGGTTACCTGTCATGTCAGTCTAGCCATCCATGGGTGATCTATGCACAAACACACATACCTTCAACTTTTCTTTTCCTCTGATACTCTTATTGAGCTGCTCAAAGTGGGCGGTGGGCAGGACTTGGCCGTGTTGAACCATTAAAATCGCCTTAATAATGGAGATGATCCCGCTGGCCATTTCTAGATGGCTGCCTGAATTGGTTAGGGGGTTCCAGAGGTCCAAAGACAAGGGTATTACGGCTCCTCACGTACCCAAAATTTGACTTGACTGAGCCGATGTACAGCGGTGTAGATGGTGTTCGCTCACGAGCCAGGACTGAGGCGAACGCACCAGCCTCGATGGGGTCTCTGATAGCATATTTAGTAACTTTCCAAAGCACTGTTATATGAATCAGCATTGATTTACCCAACTGGAGTACCAGGACCGTGACCCTAGGTAAACTTTAGCAACTATGTGAACGACTTTACCCTGAATACCTATACCTCGACGACGGGAGTTTGAGCAGGGTTTAGGCCAGCTTCCTCGTGGACTCGACGGAGCAAGTCTTCCTGCATTTCCGCATTCGGGACCGTGATACCATCTGACCGTCCAGAATGGTTGCAAGCAGTGTTACGAATAACAGCAAGAACTGGATCACCACTCCTAATTGCATCGTCGAGACGCTTGACTAAGAGGCATGCGCCGCCTTCACCACGGCCGAATCCTGAGGCCTTTTCATCATAGGAGAAACATTTCCCTTCCAGAGAGGTGGCACTGCCCAGTTTCTTGTAAGCCATAGGACGTCACAATAGTGATACGATGGAATGGTTAAATGAGTGATGGTGCGGTACATCGGTAAACTTACCCCATGTTGTCAAGATGGCTCCACAAGGTAGGGCCAAGGATGAGATGCGATGCGGCAACAAATGCAGCATTGCACTCCCCAGATCGGATGCTCTGGCAAGCCATATGAAATGCGTAGCCACTGCTGGCACAAGCGGCATCAAGCGTAATGCTAGGCCCGGTGAGGTTGCAAAAATAGGAGAGTCGATTTGCAAACATACAAGCCGCGTTCCCGATGGCGGTCCACTTAGTTGTATATGACAAGTCTTCGGACACTTGCTGAACATGATCAGAAGACCCAACAGCTGAGAACACTCCCGTGTTGGTGCCAGAAAGGTCAGTGAGCCGGATACCAGCACTCTCCATAGCCTCCAAGGCACACTCTAGGATCATGCGATGCTGTGGATCCATAGCCCGAGCCTCATCTGGCCGTAAATTGAAGAAAGGCGCATCAAAAGAATAGACATCATCCGGTAGAAAATGAGCACCAGTTGCTGAGAGAAGGCCGGGCTTTCTAAACCCGTTACAGTGGTTCGCACCGTGATCAAACCTGTCGGGTGGTACTCCTGACCACGCACATTTGGCCTCTGCCAGATATTCCCACATGTTTTTCGCACCGGTTCCCGGGGCACGGTACGCAAGCCCGATGACCGCAATTGCACTATTGTTTTGCATGTTTGTCTCTGTCGGTAATGTGGAATACGCTTGTTGTACTGCGCATCTATATGGCAAAGGTGGAGTTTGAGAATATGACTGATCCAAGCTTCCAAGCTATGGGTAAATTGAGACGGAGCATAGTCCTGGGCTTGCCACGCCAACATGCATAACTCGGTGTTAATGTAACCCAAAGGGGAACGACCTTGGTTTGGCTTAAGGCCTCAGAAGAAGGCAAACAGCTCGTGCGGGTTAGGGAGTTTTCCGATAGTGCAGTGGTTCTATCTGCACTTCATCGGCTTCGGCTCAGCCACCGAAATTCGGCACTATAAGTAAATACAACATAATGTTGATTCGGCAGTTGGCATGTCTTACCATATCATGCGCGTTTCTTGGATGGTGCCCCTCGGGAAGTACCTTTTTTCTTTCTTTTTTCTTTGTTTTTTTTTTTTTTTTTTGCTTTTCATTCTCACTTGTGCAGCCAAATAATGACTCGGAAGTTAGTGTCATGGAAACGAATAAAAAGAAAGTAAAACATAATAATTGACAGTATAGCATGCAAAGGCCAGAGTAAGCTGCCGCAAGCACCTGTCCTGTTGATAGTGTCCTTACACATAAATGACGACATACCGCGTTCGATTCGAGTTCTATTGCGGCAAGCGACTGGAAGGCGCACAATTCTCTATCTGGCGTGACACAGCAGGCTCAATATCAGCAAAAGCCTAATAGGCTTGCTTTTTGCATTGTTTCAGCCTAATACATACATATAAGACATTGTTTCGCGTTGGCACTTTTGTAATTGGCCTAAACCCGAAGTCGAGAAAGTCTTAGACTTACCTTGAGGGCCGCATCGGCAGTTTTCAGGGCTTCGTCGACCATTAATCGAGCCATATCAATCAGCGGCGCCGTGCGCGGCTACACTTAAAGATATTAAAATAGAAACACTAGTCAGAAGCAGATACTGGTGTAGGGAAGTCAATAGTATTCAAGGTAGAAGCACTTAAAAGGTTACACCCTGCAGGTAATGGGCTAGTACAACTTAGAGAGTCTACTCTGTCTATAGAGTTGGTTGATATACTAAGATTCTTAAGCTCCCGGATGGCTGACAACATCTACAACACTTTTATGCAACTCGGTAGTCGTGGTGTTTCCGTCCTTGCCGCTAGCGGGAATAGCGGTGTTGCTGGCAAAAGCCCGAACAATACCTGCATTCGTTTTGAGCCATATTTTCCTGCCTGTTGTCGCGTATATAAAATATTATGAAATATTAAAATATAATATTTTTATAAATATTTTTTTTATTAGATATAAAGACTATTAAAATCTTTATTAGTTAACTATTTAATAACCTATATAAATATTAATTAGATTAAAGTAGTTATTATTAGTAGAGGAAATAGTACTTAAATATACTATATTCTAGTATATTCTAGTATAATATAATATAAATTATAGAACTTAATTTTTAAAAGTAAAGAGTAATAATATTATAGTAGGTATTAATAGTATACTATACCTATAGTAATTGATCTAGGCAATGAAGGTAGGTGTTAT